AGTGGAAATATATGCTTGCGTGCACCTTGTGAGCAGTTTGACAAAAATGAGAGAAAATCAGAAACATTGAGCACAAATATTTTTTTAAGCAAAAATATTTTTTAAAATAAGCAGTGTTGTTTCTTAATTATTTTGAATTTGCACAGCATGCAAGTATTTTTTATGTGAGCATGTGTAGGACTAGCGTGTTGAGCTGATGCAGTAGCAGTGAACTGTCACTCACAGCTCTTTCACAGTCAGGTCTCTTAATTTATTCCAGTCCTTCTTCCCTTCAGCACGTATCCTGCTAGTTGCTAGGCAACCATAAGTGATTTTTTTACTGCGCATGATTTTTGTGTAGTAGTTGTTGTGATTATTATTTTTCTAATTGCAAAAGTGAGGACAGGGATTAAAATCAGAGTTGCATTAATAATTACTAATTTTCTCCTGTTGTATCCACAACACAGCCGTTTGAGATTATGTAAGAAAAGATCACATTGATTTACAGTATAGATGCACATACCCAAAGGGACCAGAAAATAATATTTCTTTGTGAGAGAAGGTTCTATAAAAATGATAGAACAGAATAAGCTGTTATTGATCTGCGTAGACATAGACAAAATCAGGCACTGGTCTTCTGTCTGTTGCATATTTCATGCCCTTAATGCTTTTTCTTTCATGGCTTGAAATGATTCTCAGTAGTTAATTATGTCAAGCAAAAGCTTGAAGGTTTTCTGTGGCATTCTTAGGTTAATAGAATGTGTGAACAAATCACAGTTGGCTAGATTTATATCTTGAAAATAGGATATTGCTCTTTAATAATTTACTACTAGTATATTTTTAATTTAAAATACAATATAAGGCTAGGTGTGTGGTTATAAAAAGAGGGCAAAAAATTATAAAGCCATGAGATAAAAAGCTATATAGTCATTGGGAACTTTTTTCAGAGGACAAATATGCTAAAGATGTTTTAAAGTTTGATTAAATTTAAATTATTAGTAGCTGTTTCCTTTATGCTTAAATCATTCCATTTGTCATTAGACTCTGAAGTGTAGCTGAAGCAGCACCAGCATCAGTGGTTTAGTAATTTTTCTCCAATAGATATTTCTGTCAAAGCGGCTGCAGTTTAAAACACAGCAATGATAACTCAGTCCTTCTGTATGGTAAATCTAAATTATTACTGCACAAAGTTTTGAAAGCAACTTTTCACACTTTTTGAAGTATTAGCTTACATCTATATCATGTGTCAGTATATTGCACAGATTTATTAAAATAACTTTTATTAAGTTTGTGATGTCACACGGAAAATACAATAGCGGAAAACGGGTGAAAACCTAAGGTGAGTCCCTCAGGAAGGTATGTTACAGTGTGCTGTGTAACGGTGCAACACTGTACTGCTTTGCTTTGCTTTGCTTTTCTGCAGGACCAGGGCCTCACATATGCAGGGTTGGGCACAGGTCACTTAATGAATGACCAAATTCCCCCTGGGCTTCTTTACAATGCTCGTAAGGAATCTGAATGTTTTGCAGATACAGAACTTTTTTCACAATATTTTATTCTCGTTTTGCAATTCAGGAATAGAAACCTAAATTTTAAGACACCATTTGGGCACCAGAGATCTGATTTCTTGAAGTACTTAGTGTTCTATAGGTTCAGAACAAGTTTCATTCGTCTCAGTTGCAGCTGTGAGTGCTCAACACTTCTCTTTATTAATGAAAAAAATAGTACAGTCCTCAATTTGCAAAGGAGAAACACATGTTAATTTAGTCAGTTGTGTAGTATGTACCTAATGCATTGCTTTTCCTTGCATTGCTTCCAGTTTCTCTTTGAGAGGGCAGTCTGACGTGCAGACAAGTTCTGTCATGTGGCATGACATAGTCACTCACATAAATCGTAAACTAGATTGATGCCTTTAAATCCATAGTATAAACACCTCTTGCTTTGACAGAGAAAGTAAGAAAGTATTGAATTTGTCTCTTTGGTGTGAATCAGTACCAAAGGTGGAGGTGCAGTTGCCCGAGTTGCACAATTATTTAGTGACGAGAGGGAAGTAGTAAGACTTGGGACGACAGTTACCAGGTCATTTTTTTATTTCCTCTGTTTCAGTGACAGTGCTTCCCAAATAAGTTAGATCTGTTGGGTGAAATTGCTAGTAATCATCTGGAGTGAGAGGTGCACATCATCTGTCAGGGCATTTGTCCCAACAGCTGTGTGGGGTAGATGGCTTCACTCTCCCCTTCCCCGGCAGAGATGCACAGCATGCCACCTTGTCTCAGTGTGCAGCAGCAGCACCCAGAAGTGTGTTCGTGCATGTGCCATAAGCTTCTTGTAATCTGGGAGGCAGCCTGGCAGTTACGGGTAGGCAGGCAAGGGGAACGGCTTCTGGTGCTGCGAGTCAGGCAAAAGTTACCAGAATGAGACAGAGGCGTTTGGTTTCTAGATTTGCATTGGATGGAAAAATTCTCTAGCTGCCAGTTGGCGCCCAAGTTGAACAACACTGATTAACAAGCTGTGATTAGAATGTTTACATTATTGTCCTCTCTGATGCAACGTATATAAGGAGCAGCAGAGTCCCAGGACTAAACAGATGCCAAAAAGAAAATCTTGGGTTAGGTGAGCAACAGCTGCTTGGGAAATGAGGAAATTGTTTATTCCTGCTTGTTCATTGGTCTGTCAGGTCCATAAGAAAAATAGTATTTCCTCAAATACAGATGCGATTTCAGGCATTAAGAAATGCCTAAGATACAGCAGGCATTCATGACTTTCATGAAGGGCAGAGCTGTTCTATGCTTTTTATCCTCCTTATTCTCCTTGGCAGAATTGCTTCAGTTAACCTTCAATTCCGTGTTAGTTTAATGTGTCTGATAAGATCCCACACTACTGTGGAGGGTGACTGCAAGAGAGAAACTCAGGTAGAGACCAGGACTTGGCAGAGTTCTTCCCCAACTCCTATGAAGGTTTGTTACCCCTGATTTACCATCCAAAGATGCAAATGAGAAAACAGGGCCTTTTTAGAGTAGCTGTGAGAGAAGGAAGCATGTGAATGTGGGCTGGGAAATGCTTGTGAATGCTATGTGAAGTGAATTACAGTTCCTCTCAGCAGAGCTTTTTTCTGCTACTTCGAGAAAAGTGACACACACCCGGGGGAAAAAAAAAAAAAAGACTAAGCCTGTAAGTGCCATCAATGTATTTTTCTCCACGTGACTTATAGCTGTGATATAGCCATATAGCCATTGCTATAGCCATAGATCTGATAGCCATTGGCTGGATGGTCGCACTCAAAGAGTTGTGGTAAATGGCTCAATGTCCAAGTGGAGGCCAGTGACGAGTAGTGTTCTCCAGGGGTTAGTACTAGGGCTGGTGGTATTTAACATCTTTGTTGGTGACATGGACAATGGAATTGAGTGCACCCTCAGCAAGTTTGCTGACGACACCAAGCTGTGGGGTGGTGTGGACACACTGGAGGGAAGGGATGCCATCCAGAGGGACCTTGACAGGCTTCAGAGGTGGGCCCATGTGAACCTCATGAAGTTCAACAAGGTCCTGCATGTGAGTCAGGGCAATCCCAAGCACAAGTAGAGGCTGGGCAGAGAATGGATTGAGAGCAGTCTGGAGGAGAAGTACCTGGGGGTGTTGGTTGATGAGAAGCTCAAGATGAGTCGGCAATGTGCACTGGCAGCCCAGAAAGCCAGCCATATCCTGGGCTGCATCAAAAGGAGTGTTGCCATCAGGTCGAGCTCCGGAAGTGATTCTGCCCCTCTGCTCTGCTCTCATGAGACCCCCACCTGCAGTACTGCATTCAGCTCTGAGGCCCTCAACACAAGGACGTGGACCTGTTGGAGCAAGTCCAGAGGAGGGCCACAAAAATGATCAGAGGGCTGGAGCACCTCTGCTGTGAGGAAAGGATGAGAGAGTTGAGGTTGTTCAGGCTGGAGAAGAAAAGGCTCCTGGGTGATCTTATAGTAGTCTTCCATAGCCTAAAGGAGACCTACAAGAAAGCTGGAGAGGGACTTTTTATGAAGACGTGTAGTGATAGGACAGGGGCAATGGCTTTAAATTGAAAGAGGGGAGATTTAGATGGTGGTGAGGCACTGGAACAGGTTGCCCAGAGAAGTTGTGGATGCCCCATCCCTGGAAGTGTTGGCCAGGTTGGATGAGGCTTTGGGCAACCTGATATTGGGGAAGGTGTCTCTGCGCAGTGGGGTTGATCTTTAAGTAGATGATCTTTTTAAGGTCCCTTCCAACCCAAACCATTCTATGATTCTATGATATGTGAGAATCCACAAATAAGAATATTTAGTAAACACCTCAATTTGGCAGTGTTAAAATAGCTATTAATAAAGGATGAACATGGGAAATCTGGAAATCTTAGAAGTTCTGGACACCTGCAATAGGCAATGTTCCTAGAGTATGAAAGGTTTTTAGATAACCCATCATTTTATTTCAGATGACTGAAGAAGTACAAATGTCAGTAGTGATTTTCAATACAGTTACAATGATCTTCCCAGAAACGTAACAGTCATTAGTGGAAGTTATTATTTTTTTTATTGTTGTGACATCTAGTTAGTCTGATAGCAATCAGCATCTGGTATGATGGAAACCAGTATTAACAAATGGTTTGCTGTGATGAGGAGGTACAAAACAACTATAAAATGACTAAGAAGAAGATAAGAGGAGGAACACTTGCTAGAAGTTATAAAACAAAACTGAGAAAAGGGTAGGACTGTACTCAGCAAACCATTATGGAATTCGGATTCAATTCCTAATCCTCTTCCATAAAGCCTCCTACACATACGATCCTATAGTGATGGTAATATGTTAGGACAACAGCACAAAAAATGTGTTTTAAATTGTAAATTAATTATCTGTACCAAATTAAAGAATCAGACCAGGGTTCAATTTCTAATTCTTTGAAAGAAAAATTTTTCTTTTTTTCATATGATTAGATTGTATATGTGTATGTGTTTTTTCAGAGAAAGTTTTAGTAATTCTTTCCATTGTGGGTTTGTTTTTCTCAACAGTTCAGGACGGCAGCTAAGTGAAGTCTTCATTCAGCTCCCATCCAGGAAAGAATTACCAGAGTATTATGAATTGATTAGGAAACCAGTGGACTTCAAAAAGATAAAGGTAAGAACCTTTTTTGGAAGTGGAAATTCCGCCATTCCTTTTTGTTACACAGAAGGATGAGCGTGAAGTTGTCGTTAAAATTACAGCATGAACAGTGCGTACCTGTATTTGTGGCTTAGATTTTAAACATTGTTACACACCTTGTTAGAAATTTTGTTTAGTGTGTATTGCAGAATATCACTGTTACTTTAAAGTCAAATCAAAACGTAGCAGTGTGACATGAATGACACTTTCAGAGATGACATCTCAGTGTCTTTTTCACAAAGACCTAATTGTGAATCTATAAGCACATCTTTGGTAAAAAACACAGTGTTTGTGAAGGTGTAATGGTTCTAGGGGAACACAGAATCATAGAATGGTTGGGGTTGGAAGGGACCTTAAAGATCATCTAGTTTCAACCCCCCTGCCATGGGCAGAGAAATCCTCCACTACATCAGATTGCCCAAAGCTTCATCCAACCTGGCCTTGAACACTTCCAGGGATGGGGCATCCACAACTTCTCTGGGCAACCTGTTCCAGTGCCTCACCACCCTCAATGTAAAAATTTTCTTCCTTATATCTAATCGAAATCTCCCCTTTCAGTTTAAATCCATTGCCCCTTGTCCTATCGCTACATGCCCTTGTAAAAAGTCCCTCTCCAGCTTTCCTGTAGGCCCCCTTTAGGTACTGGAAGGCTGCAATAAGATCACCCCGGAGCCTTCTCTTCTCCAGGCTGAACAGCCCCAACTCTCTCAGCCTGTCTTCATAGCAGAGGTGCATCCCTAAACTAGCATCTCATCTTGGAACAGCCAGGTCAGGTCCAAACACAGTTTGACAGATGGGGTTTAGGTAGCTTGTTACACATTAACTGATACTGTAACATTATGACTATTATACATGTCATAGCTTATTTTGTTTCTGTGCTAGAAAGAAGAAACTGCAACTCCTTATACCAGAAGAGCTCCATTTCTGTTGCTTTTTTCCTTTCCGGTTCACACAGCAATTGCGTAATTTTTACTGTTTTACCCTGGTGTATTTTTTTGAGTAATATGTTAACAATTCATTTTAAGACTTTCTTTGTTTTAAACAGATACTTGTCTTGATGGTTAGGTAAAATTTTTAAAGAGAAAGCTTTTAATACATTGAAATCAAACATTAATTCAGTGTCCTGTCTGCTCTTTTTCTTTCTGCACTACTACCCATCCATACTTCTCTTCATTTCTTCAACAAATGCAACAGGAAAGAATTCGCAACCATAAGTATCGGAGTCTTGGGGACTTGGAGAAGGATGTCATGTTGCTGTGTCACAATGCTCAGACATTCAATTTGGAGGGATCACAGGTCTGAATGAACCACTTTGTGTTAATAAATATCCAGGTTTTCCCCTATGTAATGTTTTCAGTGCTTGTGGATCATTATATTATGTATATAAACCCAGTGTTTTAGTTCTTACTTTGAATAGAGAAAAATACCCAGATCCTTAGAATCATCCAGAATCCACTGGACACAGCTGCAGTGTGTGCATGCAGAGAAGTTGTTTTTTACTCTAATTCTGAGATGAGTTTTTTCTGATCTGTGTGTAGTTTAGAGCTGCTGAAAGACTGTTTGAATCTGTGGTAAAGGGCAGTGCGTGCAGAGTGATACATCTGCTGGGATTTGCCACAGTGGATGACAGAAGGAGCAGATGTAACAGGACAGCTTAGGACAGAGTGTTGGGGAAATACTTCACAGTGAACTCTTCACTTCTGCTAACGGAAGATAAAAATTCAAGATTTGTCCAGCAGTAAAACATTGTGTATGAAGCTTTATACTCTCTGAACCCTCTGGTACCAAATTTTTTTTTTTTTAAAATGTTGAAAGATCATTGTCCATTTTAAGAGATAGTAATAATAAATCCCAGATGAGTTTTAGGTTTAGAAGGCAAAATCTCTCATCTCAAACAGATGTTTCACACATATGAACGTGTTCAGTGCTGTGAGTTCAGAACAGGACAGTGACACAAAAGGAGGGACGACAAAATCTGGATGACAGATAAGAAAGTTGTCTCACAATACAGTGAAACATAGTCTTGGCTAATTATTTTTATAGATGAGGTGCAAATAGTGTGATGCAAACACAATATGAAACTGAAACAGACAACGTGAACACAACTTCTGTAATGTGCAAGAGGAAAAAAAATGATGTTAAAAGAAACCTAAGTAAAAGTAAGCAAAAGGCTGATGTTGCCAATACTAATACATCCTTCAAATTCCTAAACCTTACTGATGACCCTTAGCTAAGCTGGGGAGATGATATTAAAATTTGAGAATTAAAATGAGCATGTAGTTAATGATGAAGGATTGTTGAATACAGCTCATCATTTTGTAATTATTTTTGCTGTCTGGAGACAGAAAATGTTTTCTGTAACATGTACGTGCGGTATTTTTATGTCTTCAGTTATATGGAAACAACCTATAAGTAAATCCGCTAAAAAATCTTTTAGTAAGAAAAGTAATGATTATAGGAAGCGTGGGACAAAATTTTGCTACGCGTCCAAATGTAAATTGCCAGTTTACTGCTTAGTCACATAGCAGTAAAACAGTTACAAATATCTAATGATAACAAATGCAAAAAAAAAAAAGAAAAGGTGAAGGAAAGCTAATACCAAAAAGTATCACGAAACTTTAGAAAATGGTAAAAGTTGGTAGAGGAGGCAAAAAGAAGCAAAGAAAAATCAGTAGCTAAATGCAAAAAATAGTGAAATTATTGTCATCAGAATGACTCAAGTTGCTAATGGGAAACTGATCTCTTGTTAGGCAGAGGTGGTAGAATTGACAGGAAAAATCCTGAGTGGATAGAAATATTCAGTAGATGTTGCTGCTCTGTTTGGAAATAACCCAACCCGTATCAGTGTGTTGCAGTATTATTTTCCATTCTAGTGTACCAACATTAATTACCAGAGCTAGTATTACTTTTTATAGTATAAAGCCCAAATAACTCATATCTAAGATTTTTTTTTTAGGTTTCTTTCTGGTAAGTTCTCATACCAAACATTTTGATTTCCAGTGAATAGCGGCCCACTTGTGCAGCAGTCCTTCAGGTTTTAAGGCTACCTCCTGATCTTTGAAATAGTTTGGATCCACTTTTGCTCTGACATATCAGTTCACTTCCATAAACTAGATTATTTGCTTATGCACCCAAACTCAAAAGGCTGATTCAGGTAGTTATTTAAGCACACAGTAACTTCAAGTGAAATTCTGTGTTTGTGTTCTGTTGGTATGATGCACGCTGCTTTTCCTTGGAACAAAGCACTTCCATCTGAGCTGGAACCTTAAAAGAGGTTTTCAAGGAGAAACAGACTTTGACCTCAATGCAACCTCAGCAACTTGAAAAGTTTTTGATGTTGTAATGGTCAAATGAAACACAGGCATTTAAGGGGTTAAAAGTGGTATGTGTCTTTTGAAACAGAAGATTTGTCATGAAAGTTGTCATTTGTCATGAAGTTCTGTTGTCATTGCTTCTCCCTTTTTGAAGGAAGTTCCACTGTCATTGCTACTTCATTTTTTGAAACCTGTTGGAATTGGATTTTGGTAGAAATAATAAAACTTTTATTTGCACAGCTTTTCCTGAAGCAGCCCCAGTTTTTTTTTTTGGATCAAAGTAGATATTGAATATTACAAATCACATTAAGAAGGTTAAAATAATTTTTAAAAACTCTTATTTCCATATGAAATTCTGCGTAAAAGTCTGGGTCACAGTGATGCTTTAAATATGTAGTCACCAGCATTAAAAAAATATAATATTGTACGTGTCCTTAATTCTGTGCTAAGCATATACATAAGAAGGATCTGGACCTGTTGGAGTGGATCCAGAGGAGGGCTGTGAAGATGATCTTTAAGGTCTCTTCCAACCCATTCTATCATTCTGTGATAAGAAAAGTAAATGGTCCTCAGAAGGAACTTGAGGGACTTCTGTTAATAGCTGAATTGAAAAGACGTAGGTATAAGAGAAAGTCAATATTGACTTGGAGGAGGGACACTGTGGGGTCTCTCAGCCCGCTAATGTCATAAGACAATGAGAAGGAGAAAACCCTTTTCAAAACATTCATGATCATTTTATGTATGACAAGAAATTTTACCATAGTCAAGAGCAGTCAAACATCTCGTAACAAAAAACACGGCAGTATTTACAGAATGAGGAAAAATCTGCAGTGAGAGGCAGTTTTTCTAACATAAAGTTTTAACATACAATTGTATAATGGCAGCCCAAAATCCTTCCCTTATCTTTCTCACAGATGCCCAGTGTCCCTTTGCACAAGAAAGTCGGTAAACTACCAGAGGAGTAGTATGACAGCCGAGGTAGTTCAAGTGATGATGATGATAAAACCAAATATGCTCTATGACTCTGTACACTTCTGTTAACTATTCTTAATTGTCTAGTGCTGAATTGTCTTAGTGCTTAGCTTCTGATGTTTTACAAAACAAAATGTACAAGCTCATTTGTTAAGATGATTGTGAAGTCCAAGATACTCAGAAGGACAAAAAGTTTTTTAAATCTAAGAAGTGTGTTACAAGCCAAATGTAGTCCTTTTACTCTTTAGAGTCCTCTCATACTTGAGGTTAAAAAGAAAATCTGATGTACCCAAGATACTTAGCAAGCTACAGAACATTTGAGAACAGATGCTAAGTTCAGAACAAGCACTGATTGTTATCTTTTTTTCAGTCTTTTTAAATCTGAGAGGAAGGAAGGAATGAGCTGCTTGGTATAAATTATTTTCCTTGTAGCCACTCTGGATTTCAGAAAAAACTAAGGATACTTAACATGAGAGTTAGCCATTTGTCATTATTAACTGTATTGCTAGATTATAACCCATTTTTAATTAAGGTGCTTACTGCTGAAGTCTGTTGCTTTGGCAGTTTTTCAAGGCTGTTGCACTCTAATGAAAATACACAGTATTTCCTGTGGTAATAAAAACAATAAGAAAAACACTCTAACTGGACATTTTAGATGTAATACATTTTAAAAGTTGTATTTTTGTGACTTGCTATTGACAAATTTTTTCATTTGCATATGCATGAAAAATTAATGTTGGCATTTCTTGTAAAATTCATGCAACGAACATTGTTACTCAGTATTTGAAAGGGCCATATACTCTGTGGGTTTGCACTGGAAATTAAGATCTATTCTGTGTGAATTTTTGATATTGCTTGACTTTACTGTTCTGACAGAGGTTTGTATTCATACTGTAGATCTATGAGGATTCTATTGTTCTTCAGTCTGTGTTCAAAAGCGCACGACAGAAGATTGCCAAAGAAGAAGAAAGCGAGGATGAAAGCAATGACGACGAAGATGATGAGGAAGAAGAAGAATCAGAATCAGAATGTGAGTCCCCTGCTAAATACTGAAAAGCAAGTACATCTGGGGATGGAAGGGGAGGTTTTCCAGTTTCTGAATGGAGACTGATTATAAGGTTCTATTTTCCGTTGGTGAAATTAACTTCTTGCTAAGTTTGCTGGTCTAGATATTAACATTGAGTTTAAGTGTTTTGGTTGTGTATTCTGGCTACACGTCTTAGAGTATAGTAAACTATTTTTAAGCCAGATGCAAATCATAGAGGTGCTTTGTGGAAGCAGATCTGACTGGCCATGAGTCTTTATAAACCCTTCTGGTCTTGTTCATGTTATTTATAAATAGAAGTTCCTGGAAAGGACAGTCTTTATCCATGGGTGGTCAACCTCCAGGCATGGTGTGACATCTAAAACTCATCACCTGGTTAAGAACCAGAAGATGTTGCAAATATTCTTCAGTGCGACAAGGACTAAGTGAAACTCTGATTGTTTCAGAAGCTGGAAGTAACACTCATTCAGTCCCTGCAGACTCAGAAACATGATACAGTGAAAAAGGAGGGATCCCTTCATTCCTCTTTCTGCCACCCAATACATAGATTTCGTAGATTTCTAGGTTGGAAAAGACCTTAGAGATCATCCAGTCCAGCCGTCCCTAATCCCCCAGTAAACCATATCCCTAAGTAGTTCATCCACCCTTTTCTTAAACGCATCCAGGGATGGGGACTCACCCCCCCCCCTGGGCAGCCTATTCCAGTGGCTGACAACCCTTTCAGAGAAGAAATACTTTCTAACGTCCAACCTGAATCTCCCCTGGCTAAGCTTAT